ATCATGACAAGCCATGATATGACGTAGGTTTCTTTAATAGCAAAGTACGTCAATCGTTATGGAGAAATGCCGGTAGCGGATGAAAAAACGATTCGAACGAATTAAGTCACGCGGTGCTAGAATTACGCCATAAATTTCGCCCACCTTCGTCGCCAGCGATAGAGTAGCGGGCGTTTCATTCGACCAATTTCCCCGTTACAACTTTCCTTCGTGGCGGCTGGCTCTTCGCCTCTATCCCGGCATCGGAGGCGTCGCGTATCGAGCTTCGACGTATCGATACTGGGCCCGCTCTGTGGCGGCGCGAATGGAACGTCTCGCGATACGCAGGTATTCAGAAACATCGAGTTTTCCCGCGGCTACCGTTTGAAATACTGATTATGAGAAAAGAGCGAAGATAGAGAAGAAATAGTGTATGCCATCGTAGTGAATTTTGTGGTGAATATTGACAGAGAAAGTTGAGAACCATTACAGAACATCACTGAAGAAGGCACGTGCGACGGAACCTAGTTATACCATAGTTGTTGTTAAAAATCGTTTTTCTTCGTCTGAAACTACCAGCCAGTTATCGAAAGTTTCGACCGACCTAGTCGCCAAATGATATTTACACTTTTAGATTTTTTGTGGGTTTTCTAGAGACCGTTTACTCGACAGTGAGTGCAACTTTGTCGCCATACGCGAAACCAGTTACTCCGGATCCTGATAATTGATCGATCGAGCGATATATCCATCATATAATGTGAAAATCATCGAAATCGCCTGGTTGAACCGTTACGATATACTCAGTGAACTCTGACGATCGTTAAACCCGCGTTCGAGGTGATCCAGATACGTAAGTAATCGATCGAGTGGTTTTATAACGAACGTTAGATGAATGCGTTACATTAGATGGAAAAAGTTCTAGCGTTTGCAGCTCTTCAACTAGAAAGTTGCTTACCACTTTTCTCGTCACGAAAATCACTTAAGTAAGTACGTGTTGTAGATGAATTTATACGATACTAGAGAACGAAACAAATTTAGCGTTTCAAAGGAGTTTATTGTTCCTGTCTCTTAAAGTATGTTGCACAAGAAGAGCCATCGAATGCAAAACACGAATCTGTCGTGGTCAAGTAACTGACGTGGAATGAGAGGTGCCGGAGCATCCGCTTTCTTTTCGAGGTCCAGTCGTTGCGCAAGAACCGCTATCTCCGGGACCAGATGAGCACTTCGCCCTGTCTCGGGTTACCTTTCTTCGGAACCGGCTAAAAAAACGTCTTGCTTGTTCTCGGAAGGTGCGCGATCCGTTACTTTCGTCAAGACTATCGACTTTCGTTATTGGTCAAACGATACGTCCCAAATACTTTACCCAAGTGCATACCTTCCGATTTTTTCAATGGGTTTTATTCTCGTTGTCTTCCTTCCCCTTTCGGAAATTTTTTTTTATATCGTAGATGAAAGTGATATAGTAAAATTGTAAAGTAAAATGTTAATTAGAATCTATTCGTTAACCTAGTCGTAATTATGGCCATATTATGAATACACATTGGTCAGTATTTTAGAAATCGATGTCCATCGTCGTTAGCAATTCGACAATGAATTTAAAAAAAATATTTTACAATACAACCGAGTGAATACGATAACGATTCTCTTTCACTGTACTTATATATTTTTGCGTGATCTACGTTTCGTGTATCCCTGCATCATTAAATTCCTCGTAAATGCATAAACGTTCACAGTCTAGTTGCGATTCATTTCTAACTTATTTATCCTAAAAGCTCTAGTTTTATAATTCGCCGGTGAATTACTTAACGATTTATTAGTTTAAATTACACCGCAAAGGAAATTGCTCTGAGTTACAGTTTACGTAAATAATACATCTTACGCCTGTGAACGAAATTCCAAATCCTCTCGTTCCAAGAAGATCGCAAATTACATACTTCGATCATCCGAACCTGTCAACTCTAACATTTGACCGATTTTCACGCTCGACCACACCAAGGGCCTCTTTTCTAGCACTCATTGACACTTTGTTTCTCTTTAATCCTTTCTCCGCTCTGTTCTCCCTCTCTCGCTAGCTGTTTGGAAAGTTACCAAGTCTAGCCGCGTTTAAAATACCTCATGCGTTTACGCATCCAGGCGCTGTGTGGCACCACGCGACGAGAAACGAAGATGAACGACCGTCTGACCACATAACGGCTCGTACTACTTAACTAACTAAAACCTTTACCCGCCGTTGTCAAAACGACTTTAGATCGTAGCCTCTTTCTCATCCGAGGACGACTTGCATCTCGTGACGAATCGCTAGGATAACGTATTCCCGTTTTATCTTTCACGTTTCATTCGCGGAACGAGGTCTGCCAATGATGAAACGCTGTTTCCTTTCTAGACATCGTTCTCCTTATCGGGATGCCGATGCTTATCTTCAAGCGTTGCCGATCAAAACGCAATTATTATATAGCATAAAACGTTGAATGGGCAGAAGACGTGTCTTTAAATGGAAACCTTCTCCATCGTGAAAGGACGATTAATTTTTAGCTTTTGAAATTCTGATGCAACAGGGAATGACGGAGGTGTCAAAGTTGTTTCGATTACACTTATGACCGACAATTCCATCCTGTTCTCGTGCAGCGACTGTGAGATTTATCTTGATCCAAGGGAATGAAAGCAAAGCGGCATTTTTCGACCGCAAACAGGTGTTTTCGTAATACGTTCGCGAACCAAGGTATTCCACTATACGTGATAAGTATTAATAAAAACTAAGAAGATCGCCAGTGAGGACTTATGGTTGCACAATCTTGGTAAAAAAAAACAACCTCCTTTTTATTTGCATAATTCCCTCGTATTTTCTTCGATGGTCGTGCGTTCCACGAAACTCGAGTGATCACCTTGGACATTAAAATGGATCGTACTCTCGTTGGCAATAGCCCGCGTTTAGGTTTTCGTAACATCTTTAGCCGTGAACCGAGCTCACCAACGAACAGTATAGGATTTTGTAACGCGCTCGAATGATGGGAATAAAAAGAGAAAAAAGATGTCGCATAAAATAACGCGTGCACGTAGGGTCGTCTATCGATAGCAAGTGCACTCGAGCACCAAGTCGGGAAGTACGTCCTTGATCCTTTCTATCCACGCGTTCGCGGACTGCATTTCAAATTGCGCTTTCGAATTTCACGATAACGTCACATCGATGCAGCCACGAATTAATTGGATTTTCGAAGCTCGATTTAGAGGACGATAGAGTCCTTGACGAGGCGCGATAAGAGCCTTTCTAATTTCTTTCTAGCTACGAAGAATAGAGAAATTAACGAGAGCGATTTATGAGATTGTTCGATAAAGATAATGCGGTTTTATGGGAGTCTCTCTTGAAACAACTTTTTTTTTTTTGTACCTGAGAGGAGTCTGAAAATCTCGAATAACTTCAAGTCTATGGTCAAGGTGAAAGTGAAGTTCGTCCCGATTAAATTCCCCGAACAAGTCAGTCGGTGGTAATCGTGAGTGAAATCAATCCAGTTTCCACGGATAATTGTAAACAACCGATGCAACAACAGCAACTAGAATCGTCTGCAATGGTTAAAATTATCAGTTTGTAATTTTCGAAAAGAAATTTTACAAATTTATAACCGTGCATTTTTCTAAATTTTAACGATTCTTTGTAAAATGAATGGATAAAACATGTTATGCATTTCCAATCCGATAATTATGATCTTTTTTATTAGCAGTTCTACTATCTAAAGAGCTGATAAAGGAAAAAATACCTGATTATTCACATATTAATATTAATAATTATTAAAAATCGTGTATTTAATTTTAATACATCATTGATAAGACTTGAATTTTATACATCTATCATTAATCATTAATTTACCATTAATCCATATATTTTATTAATACTCGTATATTAATAAATCCATCATGATATACTTACTTATATTTGTAAAACTCAGTATACACGTCATTTTCATTTCTTTAATCATCGATTAAAAATTCGTTGTTAAAAATATCCAAGTTATGAGATTTGGTTTAACAAAAGATTCGGAAAGAAGTCGATAAGAAGTCAATTCGAAGTCAGAGAGAAGAAACTTAAAAACCGGTACTTTATTGTGAGCCGAATTACGAAAACAATACAGAAAATTAAAAGCATAGTGTTAATTAGGACAAGATCACGACGTCGTTTTGTCACGACTGACAGGTCATAGCACAATATGTAAAACGAGGAAGGAAAACGATCCAATTTGGAGAAACTAGCCGTTATGTAATCGATATTACGACGCTTCGACATCATATGAGATAATGCTGCGAGAAAGCGACGTCAAACTGTACCTTCCTAGACCGTTGAAAAAGAAATTGCAATGTATCTATTCGGCTCTTAATGTCTTGGATGATAATCAAAGCAACAGTTGGTCACGATCGCTCTACGAATAATTTTCAACTGCAACCATTTTCGTATAGCAAACGGTACGCTAGAAACGCAACGTCTCGCGTGTAAAACGTCTAATTATGTAAAGACGTATAACCAATTTTGCTTTCCTTATTAGTTGCATCGTTATGTAAAAATTCCAACGGAGGGACGCGCGGGATGCAACTTACCTATAGGAAACCACGAGAGTAATGCAGATTTTATGAATACGTATAAAAGTAAATCAATTTGCGTAACAAGACCATATAATCCTTCTATTTATTCAGTTATATTCTATCGTTTCGAAAATCAGAAGAGACCGATTTCTGTTAACGGAGGTGAAAATCTAAAGGTATCCGAAGAATAGGTAGAGCGAGGAAGAATTTCAAGTAGTCGCGTTTACATATTTTTCAAATTTATAATTGTGTAATGTAACATTAATGGCCAGAAACAGATTTTGTCCTGCTCCATGTTTATGGATATTGCTGGGTCTTAGATTATCTTTCAATAACACGCTCGAGCGAAAGCTATCTGTTTTATAAATACGGTACCTAAACGGTGTGAATCGTTCCAAAGTATTCATCTCAGTTAAAGAAACGTTAAACAACGTTAAAAGACCGACTGGCTCTCCCACCAACCTAACACAATTACGAGTTTCTTACTACCACCTGAAACGTTACATAATGCGATTATCTTTAGTTGTATCACTGTCATTGTCGCCGCAGGCACTCTGTCGTTCGATGACATCGTTCCACTTGTTTTTTTCCACTTTCACACCCGAATAGCTCTGACCTTTCCAGTTTCCCACCTCTATGATCACCCCACCATTCCTGGTCCCATTAAACGCCACTTATTCCACGATTTTGAAATCACTTCCCCGGACGATCGTCTAGACGCGTACTAGTTAGTGGCATCTTCCCCTATGCAGATGGTTGTATGAAGTCGCGAATAGGTTGTCGCGAATAGGTTGTCGCGAATCCCCATCACGAGCTCGTAGGACAGATCCGGTGATTTCGAGAGCCGAGAGAACGAGGCTGCGTGGGATTCGCGGAGCAAATCGAACCTGCCCCACCTGGGAGGCGAGGCTTGCGATTCTCGAAGCTCGATTCTCGATTCTCGAAGGGGCACACATGCTCGCCTTCGTTCCCATTCGGCCTGCTAAGACATCGGGATCTCCTTCACCGTGGTCCTCAAACGGGCCTCGCGCTCCGCCAGGTACACATCTCGCCTCACGCACTCGCGTCCACGCTCGCACGCTATCTGTAAGTTGATCACACATTCGACTCATTCTCGACGCGTATCTTCGTATTTCTGACAGCTCGCCACGTGGCCTCTTTGCCGCTCCGTACACAGATCCGCTACTCGTTAGAGCTATCAAAGGTCGTTCAAACTTGTTACAAATTTTAATTGTAATTTTTCATTTTCGCCTTCGCGATTCGGAGAGTGTTCTGTGAAAATTTCATTTTATCTCTGTTGCTATATATTTTGCCTGTAGTTACGATTGTCCTTAATGATTCGTAAATTTGTAATTATCCATCGATCCATCGATCGTTGGCAGTTCCTGTCTCTGTGTTATATTGTTATTCTTTCCTGTCTTTAATTAGAATCGTTCGCGTTTATTCGCAAATCTATAGGACGTAATTTTCTTTGATACATAATCGATCGATTGTCAGCTCCTATTCCTGTACAATAGATTCGTTTCGGATGATTACAATCTTTACAAACACGAGTTTTCGCATGACGATACGCTCGATAAACGTACGAATATAATTTTCATAGATTTTTAATCCGCGTTATTTGTTTTCCGTCATCCTTTCACTTGACATTTCTAGTTAGACGTGTCGTTTTATTTTAAGGAAAACCCGGTAGCGGTTTTACTTTACTCACTACACACGATTTTCCCTAGAACAAACGAAGCTGAGTATCGAAAGAGGAGGAAGCAAAATGAGGATAACTTACGTGCTCTTTGGCCTCGCGTTGCTCGTTGCCTACGTACACTCGAGCCCTATCGTCAAAAGGGAAGCGGAATCCGAGGATCTCAATCCATTGAACGAGGTAAGGCCAATTACAATTCTTTCCGACGAACGAGCAGAATGGGAAGGCAGGGGAGGGAGGCAGTCGTTACGCAGCACGCGTATGAAATCACGCGAAAACCACGGATATCAAATGGAATCAAAATGTGACTCGCAAGAGGGGACCCGCTGTGAATCGCGAAAGTGAAAGCGCCTATTTCGAGGTTTTATTATATTGCCGCCTCTTGAACGAATTCAAAGTAGATGCTCGAGTGAACCGAGTTCATTTGCGATCCCCTTACTTTCTTTCGTTGTACGCACGTATCGTGTCTATGATCACGCAGAACGTATTAGGAAAACAGAAGAAAGAGGAACGGAGAGACGGATCGATAAGCCGAATAGAAAAAGAGAGAAGCACGGCGGGCCGAAGAAACGAGCGAAGAGTGAAAGTGGTTGACTAACTTGACGAACGCAGACACGCGAAGCCGGATACGCGCGCGTAACTGAAATTCTGATGCGCGCACGTGGCCGTACACAGTGTACATAGCCTCTCTTGACTCTTTCACTCTTCGTTGATGGAAAACTTGTGTGTAAAACTCGCGCTATTTGTCTTTATAATAATCGAATTTGGTCGACGATGATAGACGCAAAGTCTGATCGTTAACGGTGCTGTCTCGTGGAATCTTCTGGAACGATCGGCTAAAGACACTTTGAAGTTTCACTGACTCGACGTTATATACTTCGATGAAACGTTAAACGTTTGATCCTTTCTCTCCTTTCCCTGGTTGCTTAATTTGATCGTTCGACTCGTCGTTTAATACGATCACAGAGGGAAAGTGGTTTCCCCGATGAAATGGTTTCCACGACGAATTTCCTGTCTGCAGAAGAAATTAATACGATTCCTTTTGGTTAGATATACATCGTGGAGGCCGACGATGATCAGGCTGCGGATGGAGACAGGACCGACAGGGATAAGAGGAAAGTCGGCGTCATCAAGCTGGGCGTGTCCAATGGAATAATCAATTTCGTTTTCGGCGTAAGTGTTTGACATTCTCTGCTTGGAAAAGTAATGCTGTAATTTAAACCGTAAGAGATATTATTCACATCGAAACCTCTTTGTAGAAGCTGGATTCCTTCATCGATGCGAAAACTAAAGCGCTGGGTACGTTGGACGAGGCAAATAAAGTAAAGAACGCTGCGTATGGCATTGATAACAAATATTCGGCAACCAGCAAGTTCATCAGTGATCTGGTCGCTTCGAAACTGAAAGCAGCGAGCGGAAGCATCGGGCCGGTACTAAACAGCGCGCAAACTTTCGTCTCTAGCTTCAAGCACGGATTGGCTGGTGCTACCGCTTCGAAATTGCAGCCGCTTGCTGCCCTCGCCGGTGGCTTGTCCTCTCATTCGACGCCCGATTCGCATGGACACAACGGAGGTAAGATAAGAAATAAGCACTTTTTGCATCAGAATCTTCTTTAATCGATAACTTGTTTAATATAATTTGGGATTTTCAGACGAAGGAAACGGAGACTCGTCAAACGCGCTCGCGCTTATTGGGAACCTTTTGTCTAAGAAGATCAGCAGCTTGAGTCAGTTGAGTCAGAACAAAGACGACGGACATTCTGGTCTTAGCGAAGGAAGCACCAGCTACGGATCGTACGGACATGTTAGCGACGGGGTAGGAATACCATAACAGTTTTTTCTTTTTCTCTTCTCCTTTTCTCTTTTCTCTCTATTCTCTATCTTCTCTATATTTTCTATCTATACAACACGGCTGTTATACCGCAACTGATGAATGTTGCCGATGGAAGTGAGTTCTATGCTCGTCGTCTCTCGTAATTAGTAACAACACTCGGTAACGAGTCTCTGTTCTTTTATCCTCTGTTTGCTTGTTCTCTCTTTGCTGTGGAGAGTCGTCCGCCATGAAAGCAGACATTTAACAAGGGATTAGGAGTAATAGAGAGCTTCAGTTTCATTTCTCTCTCGTTTGTTAAACTTGCATGTCGGTTATTCGCGCCAAAGATAACAATTAGAGGCATGACTTCGTTTAGCCTCGCATACTAAAACGATCCGTCGAACTTTCGTTATTTCATTCATCCAACTACGCATGTGCTTACTTTACTTATTATTATACCGTGAGGGAATTTTTCATGGCAGTTTTAGTTTTTCAAATAACTTGCTTGCTCAAAAACATACGATTAAAAACATATAACTACGTTGCTAGTTGTCGAGTATCGCGTGCTGAATTAACCCGCTACAGAGCACGTTTGGAAGATTCGCTTCAACGAGCGGCTACGGTCAAAATCGCCAATTAAAATAACTGTTGTGCATAAACAGTACGAATACGATCCACCGCAAGGGGCGTATTATACGGCTTAAAAAGCGGATGCGGTGCAAACGAGGACATTGGACCTTGGCCTTTGGACACGTCCAAAGGGATCATCGATCAGCCACGCTTGAGAGAAGATCCATGACGCAACTAAACATTCATCTTAATGCGCGAACAAATAAATAAAAGCAATAAAAAGAAAGAGAAAATAACGAGAGGATTGTACGAACGTTATATAAACGAGCGTCTTTAATTTTCGTAACTGTACGACGATATATCTACGACAATGGATTTTTCTTTTTAGCACGGCCGATAAAATGCCAGGATCACACAGGCGACACAAGTAATGTTCTAATATTAAGAATGACACGCAAGAGATCTCCCCTATCTCGTCTGTTTCGCCATTTCCGGGCTAATGTTACCGAGAAGTTACCCATGAAATTGATTCACCATTGTGCGATCTGTAAATAATTCCTTAGGTGTATGTTGCCGTGGGACTGTCTCGTCCCATGTACCTCAACGCTGTGCAAATCAATTGTAAATAGAGTATTTAACCGCTCTTTAAATATACACTCTAACGGTGTACGTTTATGAATGGTAGATGTTGATAATGATGATAATTGTTTTTTTCAATAAAATCACGATCAGGTTTTCTTTGTCTTTGAATCGAGTACTTCAGTCTTTTACGAACGCCATCGACGTCCTGCATCCTTTCCTATCCTTCTCTGAAGATCTTTAAGAGGATCTCTAAGAATCTTTAAAGTCGGTATTAGAAGGATTGCACGATGTTATCGTAGCATCGTGAAGAGATAGTTAATTATCGATATTTGTCAAATATTTGCGAACATATTGAACGCGATAGCAGGCACCAAGAAGTTTAACGGAAGGTTAGATAATTATATTGGAATACCAACGTATCGGACACGCCTATTTTAATTTCTTTTTTCTCGATGCATAGAGGAATAATTTACCTACACGTTGTTGCTATTGCATGAGAACACGACGCCATGGATATGCTATAGACAGAAAAAAGACAAATAAAAAGAGAAGGATATAAAGAAATAAATCGATTATCCCTGTTTTCCTTTTTTATCATATCGGTACATTTATTTACGATATTGATCGCACGGTGTAGCCTATACACTGTGAAAGGCGAACTATCATTGACTGGTTTTACGTGTGTTTAGAAACCGATTTCGGTCACCACAGAAGATATCCCCACTTTCGATAGGATGAGGGTGTCCTTGGACGTACCACCATCTGTATTCGGTTCTGGTTTCACCTTACTTACCAATGTCAGCAAAATCCTGAGCAGGATAATAATGGTAAGTAGCAAAACCTATAATTACTTAATCGGATCATTTCTTTTTCGACCGGACGTTTAATGTTTTATAGACTGACCGAACAAAAGTGACAGGAATAGATATTTTCTGATGGAAACGATTATTGGGCGTTGTCAGGATTATCTTGCGACACTTTACTCCAGTTTATTTGCGATGCAACGATTTTTTTCATAGCTTTTACGTCGGATTGACTAATTAACGTAGACATATCACCCTTCACTCGATTTATTACAAGATCGTTGCGGTTCTTCATGCGTATCATTCGCGAGATTAAAGTGGAACATTTCTCGGTTACATATGTGCAAATTAAAGTGAATAACTAATCCATTGCATGCTAAATTAATTTGCTAGTTGTTGGCTTAGAATTATCTACAGTAGGTATCCGGATATTTTGATCAATTTTACCAGAGTGTACGAACTAATGGTAAATTGATAACGCGATAAATGCATTCGAAGAACAAATCAATTATTTGTCATTCTCGTTTCAAATTTTCCGAAATCATCATCATCAATCTTCGTTTATATTATTTAATAATTCAGAACGATACAGAAAAGAACGGAACAAATTTTAACATGCATGTTCGTTAATACCATACTGAAAGATGACTTTTTCTGTGATTTGTAGAATTCAGCACGTCGAACACAATCAACCGTAGAACTGCTTAAACCAATATTCAATACTGTCCTTTTCTCTGGTGAAAAGACTCACTAGAAGGAACTCTTCGGAGGCGGCAATCAAATAGCTCAATTATTACTTCAAGCATTTTCACGGGGTCCTGTTTGACACATGCCATTCTTCGGGAACGAATCGAGAGGCGGGCTCCAGTGATCCTTGCAAATAGTCTGAATTTTTTTTTCTTTTTTTTACGAGAATCCTGATCGGAAGGACCTTAGGTGAAATTGAAGGTGCCTGTTAGATATTTTACTAAAGAAATTTATTTTCTACGGGAAGAACTATATTTATCGACCTTTTTGTACGTTGATTAACTCAATCGAAACTAAATTCTTTTCTATCCTTTGAGGAAAAATTGTTCCTAATTAAATATGAATAATGAAAATGTCACCTCGGATAATTTTGAAGAGAAGACGTAGCCCATTAAAATGCCAGATCATTTTTGTCAAGAACAAATACATTTGTTATTCAACTATGTAGTAACTTATGAAAGAACAAAGTTGTGTAGACGAAACATGGAATCTGCAGAGATTAAATTCCCAATTTATAGCTAACATCAACGAAGGCTGATTTTATGGAATTTCGACGATGACTGCGATCGCGGTTAATCGTTCGTCGCTTCGTTCCTATCGAATTCGTTGCCATAAATTATTGTTCGCCAAGCCGATAGTTCAATGATCGCGTGCCGCTGTCAAGGAAGTACAACGCTGCAATAATTTACATATTACACGGTTGTTGCTTTAACAAATTAGATAACAATGTGCGATATCAGAATCGCGGAGAAGTGTTGCGAGCACTTATTACAAATACAAACTTGTTAACTGTATTTCCGATCCAATAAACGTGTGTACATTTTTGTAAAACAAAATTCGTTACGTTACTTCCCATTTCCTTGTAAATACCTATCATCGGAAAATAGTTTTCAATTGAAGATTTCCGGGATACTTTCTAGATACGAGAACGACGTAAGTACAGTTGCCATGCCACGTGTAGAATTGTTTCGTTAATCTTTTCGGGACTTTTCTTTGGGTTATAGAAAGATTTGCTTTCTTATAAATTATTAATAAATATTAATACACTGCGAGTTTTTATGCAGTTATGGAAAATTGAAACTGCAAAAATGCGCGTAACATATAAAGGTGTATAAAACATTCAAAGCTAATCATAATAAGTTGTATCGAATAAAAATATGATTTTATATAAATATCCGCAGTCTAATCACTATGTAAATAAAAAGGCATCTTTTTATATTCCTATAAAGAATACACGATACTCATGGTACTAAAATTTAAGATGAGTTTTCTAAGAAAAATATACTTACAGTTTAATTAATTAATAAACGTTGAGAGGTGAATAATTCTTAACAGGTCATTAGAAGAAAATTACGCCGTTACATATCAAATTAGATTGTATTTTAAATACTTCATACTATTATATATTATATATCATACTAAATTCGATGCAGAAGGTTTTGCGATACCTGTAATTACCACTAATGGTCTGCTGATTAATACGAAACGCTGAGAAATGGGATCTTTGTCCCTCAGACGAATAATTGAAAATCGAAACCATAGGTAAAAGTATAACTCCATGTACATATTTTAATATATAATACTATCTTTAAATAGTTATCTTGTAACTTAAGTTGCAATTGTGTAATTAAATAGCAGAGAAAGGTGTGGTTTATCTCAAGTATCTTTGATCGGTGTCTGTACGTAATGAAATCAATTCACACATCGTACAGCCGAGATAATAATCTCGCGACACTAAAAAGTGCTACTCGAGGAAACAGCTATTAATTATTCGTCTAAACTTCCGTGTCCGGTGAAAGCATTATTCAGACACTCTATCGAATGAGAAACGAAAAAATAGGCTAGGAATGCGATTGCAACTAACAACGCATGCATGTTCCTACCACACACACAGTTTCCTAATGATAAACTGTCAAAATTATGCAACTATACTCGGTACAATTATATAAAATATTGATATGTGACCTATAGACTAGAAAACGCTTGGTTTCTTGGAATGTTTTTATTCTTTTTTGAATAGACGTAATTAAGGTCTGCAGTTACAGAGGTATAAGATCAATAGAATTCTATGTACACAATACTATTCTAAGAATTCCTCGTCGGTAGTTATAAATAATAAAAAGTAAATGATTCAAGGACCAACATATGTATATTGCATCCTCTCGTGAATGTAGGTTAAAAAATTGGACGGACTTTGTATCGTTTAGCTGAAGATTCAATAGAAATGCGTGTAATTATGCAACCAGACGTCGACTCCGACATGGAGAGATGCAGCTCATGTCCTAGTTCTAGATATTCTAAGACATCGATGAGCGAGTAATTATCACTCGTGTGTATGTTATGTACTTTCCTGGTTGTCACCGATCATGCGTTTCTTTTATTTGTGATCACGTCTTATGCAGCGGATGATCTATGAGAAAAATAAAAATTCGCAATATAATCGTTAATTTATGATCGCTTTGTCAACCTGCGGTGTAATAAAATTTCTCAAGAGCTATAGGAAGATGACAATTTTACGATAGTTGACTACTTAAGATCGCCTGTAGATAGGTTTCCCGTTATGGTGAGAGTAAAGCGGTTTGCAGTGCGCGAGGCGCCAGCTACAGCTACGTTGGCGCCAATTATGATACTTTAAACGCCATTTATGTCACTTAAAAAGCTAATTTTAAAGTAATTAAAATATTTTCTATTTCTTTTTCCACTTTCATAACAATTTTGTTATCTCATTAAAATTAGAACTATCAGAATGGTGAAAATGATCAATTCATAATTTTTCATAGAAGTTTGATAAATTTTCAACGTCGGATTTTTGAAGATTTGAGTACTTTTTTTGTAAAATATTAAGTTGATGTGTATATTCCGTCCGCTTCTTGGTTCATCCGAGTAAACTATCAACGTTGCAATAAATATAATAAATGCTTTTTTAATGATAGATCTGAAGATATTTACAAAAGAGGCACATCGTGCCAGCACATGGATGGATGTTGTAAACCAAGTTTATGGAAGACTTACTTTGACGGACAAAACTTATGTAACAACTTGACATATGCGTAGACCAAGTATATTCTTTCGTATACCTCTCGAATTTGGTTTCTTTGATACAAGTCTCATATTTCACCTGTCGGTGGATCTGGTACTAATATTAAAATTTATAAAACTAAAATTATTGCTAATAGTTTAGCCCGCGTTTACGTAAGAATCGTTTATTGCCTAATTTTTTGAGAAACACATCTAACGGATTTGCCATAGAGCACATAGTCATCAGGGGATATTTAGGTGCGTCATCATGAGAAATTTTCCTTCGTGCGCAACGCGAGATTGCTGGAGAAATGGATGACGGAATGACGGACGCTAAAATTTCGTAAATCTGTTCCGTTGCGGTGATACACGCGAGGTCTTTCGTAAAAACGTGAACGACCTTCGGTACTGATTCGAGATATTGAAAGGAGGAGAGACTCATCTCGTTAGTGACGGGTCTGCCGTCCGACAAGATGCACTTGTTCTTACGCGTTCGATCGCCACGTTATATTTCTTCGCTGTGCCACGAACATCGGTTTACATTGCAGAAGCTGATACGGATCTTTCTGCTTGATTGAACAAGTTTGAAGAACTATTGCCAAGGTAAAGTTGATAAATGTCTAAACGCTTTCATCCATTCTTAGTTTTTGATCTTACTGTAAAATATCATTCCACTATTGAGAACTACTGTCAAAGAATGACTGAAAATTGTTTCGATATAAAGGATTTTCTTAAATTTTACTATTCTTGAAACAATTACGGAATTTTGAAAATTCTCGTCCTGATAAGATTGACAGCTTGTTATATTTAACTCTTTCTAATTCGAAAAATTTTTAATACGATCCAACTAGCGACTTTGGTACACCTGTATAATGAAATCTTTTAAAACGAAGGATTTTGATTTGAGAAGAAAAGGGTTATAAATGAGTGTAGATTTTTTTATACAGTAGCTTTCTTCCGTTTGTTGCTTTTCGTCGATTATAATAAGATACGATTTTCACACGACGTCGCTTTTGCAGTGCTAATGAAGTGCAAGGGATTAACAGATTTTCACTAAAAGTGCTGTGAGCTTATAATTAGTGCAATTGAATGCAGAATTTGTCAAATTATTCACTCGGTAATCGCTTTGTATTTGCTTATCAAATATTAGCTGTGTCTTTTTCAATGCCATAATTGGTGATTTTCTATTTATCAAATTGCTTCCATTTAATTTTTAAAACGAACTATCACTGTTATCGACATACAGTATTAATATGTAAATGAAAGTGATATTTTTTAATTTTCCTGTTTCCTTCGCATTTTCATTCATTATAGAAAATAGTTATACCGAATTCCTAGACAGGTATCGAGGTCAAAACACCTGTGATCACTGTTTCGTGAGCGATTACGAGAACGTTATGTAAGAATAGATTTGACCACGCTTTATTATACAACTCGATAGCCGAAATACCATATGGGTAAAATTTATGCGAAGAACCGAAATCTTTTTTCGTGGCAAACACGTTGTTTCATAATGTTGTTGGCCCATATCTATAAATCAAGAATCGTTTTGATAACCAGTCGATGTTTCTTCGATTAGTAAGAAAAGATGCATCAATAAACGACTCAGAAGCTACGTTAGTCAAAAATTATATAATAATCAAAAAAGTAAAAAAAATTGTGATTTTTAAAAATATCTAAAAATATCTAAAATATCTAAAGAATAGTAGTTTCTAAAATTTATCTTAGAATTTATTACTCTTATTTACCACACTGATCGATTCTATAGATTGAAAAATAGGAGGAAAGCAATGTTGTTATGAACATATTACTTAATGCTTTGAATGCTTATCTCAAAATTTACTACTATTCATAGGCACTATTTACATATTTAGTAGAATTTAGTAGTATTATTTGTTTCAGAATTCACTGTAGTATTATTTATGTTAATTATAAATAAACCTACAGAAGTAAGTCAATTGTGGACTGCATACGTATATGCAAATTCATAATGAAACTCATAATTAAAGAATAGGAGATACTATTACGAGTTACACGTTAGATATTATTACGAACATTATCCTTTGGATTCTTATCTCTTCGATTATATGTTTGGTGCGTTTTATACACCGTTTCGCTTCAAATTTCTCATAGATTTCTAAACATTCAGAATCCACTTGCTTCGTGTACCTGTGTCACGAAACTGAGAAATTTACGAAAGTAAGGAACTGATCGCATATAATTAAATTTTCTGAGAGACTCAAATATACCAACGTATGAGTGACACGATAAATTGCATACTTATTTTTTCACGTTGCACCTTCGTGTTACTATATTCGGCTGCTGCAAAAGACACCAGACTTCAGTTCGTGACCAGCGTCCCAATGTTCTCTATATCGAACTCGATTCCCGTAACTTCAACACCACGTGCAACACTTGTAATTCACTTCGAGTTTCGTGGTTTTTTCCTATTGTGATTAGAAAATTATATTAACCATTTCCTGTACACTTCCAGGTACGTAACAGGATAACAAGGAATTGCATAAGGGTTCGTGAACGAAGACGGTCAGGATTGCGCAATAAATATTTGTACGCAGCAAATAAAAGTAAGTAGATAGTTTATCTGCAATGGTATGTTAACTTGGGCCAGTGAAGAAAAGTTACAGGGGTATTTCCTGTACTTTTGAAAAGGGAGAGTTTTGTTGATCTTGTTGTTTCGAATCGACGCTCTTGAAAAATGAAGTTTAAAAATTCAGGGTTACTTTCTATGATTGCAGCGAAAGATGTCTAGCGTAATTCAGTGACTGTCTGTCATTTAGTTCGTTCGACTTAATCTCCTAAAAAATTAGGTTAGACAATCTAAAAAAATGTTTTTGTTACATACAGTAAAAATAGGAATAAATTTTGGCGTAATTAGACTACAGATATTTATGCAAATTGATATTTTTAGAAACACGATTAAAGAATTAGAAGCTAAGCACACATTTGTTTCGACCAGTAAATGTATTATAATTACAAAATAAAGATTAGAAAACGATCGATAAATAATATAACGAGTACTATACCTCGAATGCTTTATCTTTGAATTTTGAATAAACATAATTGAGTAATTATGCGAATCGATTAAGATACAAAGCACAATTACGTTCCGTGATTCCATAATTCATTGACATTATTCCCACGATTATCGAAACAATATCGCTTTTCTCCGATACGTTACGATATTTGTACCTTTGTTAGTCCGCGAATCGTAAACGTCCGAGCTCGAAAAATGGCGGGCGATCGTAAAACTAATTTCCATATAACTTCAAACTCCGAGTGTAATTTACTCCAAATTTTTGTCAATTCCACGCATGAGAACCGCTGACTCATAACAGGTGGAAACCGCGTTGCGTAACGCATGTACATATATAGATCCTTGGATACATAAGAGAGATTTAAAGCAAACGTTAAAACGCTTGCTTACATAAAATTTGGAACGATAATCTAGCTTGAAAACAAAGCTTTATACGAAAAAATTTCGATTTACTTTTGCGCAAGGAACTATTTGACGTAAAATGATAGAGTTAGGAAAGAGAACTTTATGGTATACACCTTGTAACTTGTTGACTTACTTTCATTATTAGTTATCAATTATTGTGCAGAAAAGTTGTAATATCCCGAAAATTTATAACCGCCAGTATGGAAATATACAAAATTTTGGCAATTTCGATACTATTTCGCAGTTTATTTCCCATTCTAAACGTTTCGTTTCCTAGTACGGTGAAAGAAAGACGCGTGACAACTAGACCGTGGAAGGAATAATTTGACTGGAAATTGCATCGTATCCGCCCTCCTCCAACATTTTCTTCCGCTAGTCTGTTAACTCTGGCATTCTTTTTTTAAAACTCGAACTCTTAACTTACGGTAAATAATTCACGACCCGAATCAAATATAGATCACTCGTCAGAATCTCATAACCCAAAAAAACACTGAAAAGTGCAACCAACTATAATGGTAAAAACGCGAAACTTCATCAGTGATAATGTTCGAAAATAATTACGTCCGCGTGGATTCCATTATCGACGGTAAGAAAGTGCATCGCGGGCATAATAAAAATGAAGTAACACGTCGAGCGAGGCATTTACCATCGATTTATGTTCAAGGAAACACGTGGTCGCGCGACGGCCAAGAGTGAAAGTGAAACATGATCTGTGATCCACGTGCTTCTGATGCTCGAGCGGGGCTAATCTACAAGTAGCGTATCGACTGAACCTCGGACAGCACGTTTCTGCTCCAGCGTGTCAATCGTTCCAGTGAAAGAAATTTCGTAATCGCGAACGAAAAGTGGCGGATAATTCGACGTGTGTGATTGAGGGGCATCAAGCATCATTGAACGAATGCCAACTCGAAGGATCGAAGTGGACGCGAGACAGTGGACTCTAATAGAACCACCATCGAGATTCTTTGTGTTTGCTTTGTTCCATTATTTCCTCGATATATGGGAAATTTGAAATCGGAATTGAAGATTTCAGAGGAAGAAAGGATTCGATCAATATTGGGAGAATTTGAGGAGTAATCCCTTAAAGTTGATTTCAACGATTCGGTTTATCGACCGAGTCCTTTCGCGCGATCGCATAATCGACAACGCGATAACTCGTGCAACTTCTGTAGAAAGTCGACCGTCCGGTTTAATCGTGATCACGGCAAAAAGGAAAAAAGATCGAGGAGCAACCTTCAGAAATTTCAGAAACTGTCAGAGACCCAGTCAACCATCCATAGCGTTGTGTGTAGAAATATATTGTTGACTATACGTATTAGGACATCTGTTGATATTTAGTATAAATTCAGTATTTTCAAGTGCTTTTATTTTCCAGTTACTTTATTGAAAATCTGTTATGTCATTCGCGTCATGTTACGGTCAATAAGCTCGAATAAATGTAACGATTATGCGTGCTAATACTTTTGATCGACGATGCAAGTACAAACATTTCTGACAATTCGATGAAATTGAAATTAATGTTTTTTTATACGTTTTAGTTACATTGTTGAAACAGCTATATAATTAAATATATTCTATATAAGTGCAGTATAACGATATTAATTTGGAAACGAATTATACAAATTACATTAGAATATCTCTATTTGTATGCTCGCCATCTATATTTGTCCTCGGCTGCCATTTACATGTCCGTAAATCAGTCAAACAAAAAAATTACTCAAAAAATATTCTTCCTGTTGGAACATAATTTCCGTGAAAGGAAGTTGTCCACTTCGTTATGATAATTACAACCATCTTACTGGAAGGTTATTACTTACAATTGAACGACATATATAAGTATAATCACTCGCGTAATTTAGATGCACCGACGTTGCTTCATAACCATTACGACGATCATAAGGTACTACGATCTCGAACCAATTACTCGCTCGATCAACGAACAGTGTTCCGATTTCACTTAGCCCAGGTGTATGTTATGATTATATAACTGATTTTAGACTTCCTTAATCATTCCATGCATCGACCCGTTACAAAATATAGAGTCCAGAGTGTAAACGATTAGAAACGATCGAGAGCAACGAATGTTCGAGAAACGTTAAAAAACTTGACGGCCTCGCGTTCAATTTCAACAAAAATAGACATTCTCCAACTATCTCGCGCTAATGTTAACGAAGAAATAAACCGGAATGATAAGAACAAACAAGAAATACCTATTGGTTAAACGATTCTTTCATTGGCGCGGAACAACAAAGAACGATGTCTGTTGCATCATATTCGAAATTCGTTGGTCAATTGATTTCGAAACTGTCGAAATATCGCTGCTAGTGAATTCCCTGCACGCGTCAACTCGAGGTTGCGTCGAAATGGAGCACAAGGGGAAGTATCTAACCAAGGAGTCACGAAAAGCCAAATTCCGATCGTCGTTGGACAGTCACGCCCGATCTGGCACGAAGGTTACAACCGTTTCATCGTCGAATCGAATCTCACTCGTTTAATCGATCAAATAAAACACATAACCGTTGTTCGATCGCATTTACCGGTATCTTCGGGAGTGCAAGAAAGACTGGAAAGTGCAAGAAGTGAAAGTGCGAGGAAGGTTCACGGGCATTCGGTATTTCTGAAATTTTCCACCGACTTCAGACACAAAGCTTCGCATTCCGTTTTCACGCGTTAATTCTCAACGAGGTTCATGCGTGACTCATAATCGTACGTTTCAGTAAAAACATCGCGTACGATTTCCCGCGTTTCTTAAAGACGTATCCCCCGTTTGTTAATCGATAGTACTTTTTAAATTGAATCCAATCGTATCACGAATACGAATTGCTTGGTTAGTCGTATTATTGCTATTTTCCTGGCGACCATTCGTGCCACGCTTACGTGATGAGAATCACGCGACCGATGGAGATTCGAGTTTTTAACGGCTCGTGTAAATAGCCAACCTGTTCTGGCAGTCGCGGTTTCATCGCTTTTCCGATTCTTTTTCTTCTTCACGAAAGTTTCGTGGCTTAAGTGAAACGTCGAATCGATTCTCCTCGCGTGACACCCAACGAGTTCTTCGCGAAGAAAGTACGTGGCGTAATTTCGCGGAGAAGTTGTTCCGAGTCTGTCTACAGAGTGTATCTTAAAACGAAATTTACATTTTTGATAGCCTGAATACGTGTTGCGGATGAATCATTCACAGTGAATATGAAAGGTGAATGGAGTATTTATTAATTCATTGATTGAATTAATTAAAACCTCGTTTCACTGGTTTTCAAAGTGTTAGAATTAACATTCCCTTTACAGTTAATTACATGGCAAAACAATGTTACCTGAACGGCTGTGTATTTGTTACTGAATGACATTAGTAGCGTCAGTGTCGCTTCAGCACGAATCGTATCGATATCGTTCATTCGATTCATCAAAAGTAAAGATCGATTCTACTTTGTTCATTGATCGCTTTGGATATCGATTTTGGATGAAATACAGATGAAAACGATCTTTACTTCTTTCGCTGTGAACGAATCATCAACGATACGTATTTAAAGCGTGCAATCTAGATTTGCCTTTAGACATCTTCCACGTGTAAATTCTGTGACCGATTAACAGCGTTTAATTGCAGATGCAGGCGTCGTCGATGAATTTATTGGCAGCCGGCTTATCGCTATTTTGCTTCGTGCATCCCCTCCATGGCGACCCTCAAGGATTCTATTCGACGAATTATGAGCCTTACAATCCTGCATTTCACATATCAGACCCGGTGCACCGTGTTGCACAATTTCCTGAACGATACGATTCTTCGAGCACTCGGAAATTTTTACCACGCGTGGCACAGTATAGAGAAACATCCGAGGCCACTCCAGAAAAAGATCAGTTTGAAAAACCTTTGCTCCTGCTGAGTTACTCTAAAGGAATGACAGAAACGGTGCAGCCAGGAGTATATAACAGGTATAGTGATTTTGGATCCGATGATCGTGAAGAGAAAGCGAAAGAAGATAGAATAAACGTTGAAGATGAAGATAAAAAGAGTGACTTGGATGAGGAGGCAATTATAGAAAAGATGAGGATTCTAGATCGACTGTTGTCTGAGGATTCAGGTGAAAAAGATTTTGATACGAATGTAATTGGAGACAAGATCATCTCGGAAGAATCGAAGAGGGTTGTCAGAGAAGTGAAGAAGAAGAAGCCGGGATTGTTTTGGTCCTTGGCAAAAATCACGTTCGAGGTAAGGCATTTTCTGTCTACATATGTATAGTGTATAGTGGTTAGACTATGGATATTTCAATTTTTCAGAAGACAAATTTATCGACGCCACTTTTTCTTAATTTCACTATATTATCCAAATGTATGATTAGTATTTAACTTCTTCAAAAATAGACGGTCCAGAAATAGAATAAATGTATATTTATCAGGAGAATGAAAACAAATGATCGTAAATCTGAAAGAAAATTAAAAACGATAATTTATGTCACACATCGTTGCTTTCTTTCGTTTCTCAATTTACGAAGTTGATTGATATTGATCGATTTATGATAGACAAAGTATACTTGTGTAAAAGTGTATTCTTCATCCAATGGTCACGACAAGTTCCGAGTTTCCCTTCAGGATAAAATCGTACGCAAGGAGATTTTAATAGATCGGCGATGACATCATGGTAAATCCACATAACCGGACCATTCAAGTTGCCTGGTATGCGGATGTGCATTTTCCCCTCCCTCTGTTACAAGGAAGAAAAAAGGATAATGTACACTTAACTGCGTATGGTCAGTGAAAGTGCGGGTGAGATTGTGCAGATGGCCACGATAGCTAGTGACTCGAAGTCACGTAACTGTCGAGTGTCGAAGGTTTGATCGTTGGGCGTGAGAGAGTTTAAAGGTGGCAAGCAGTCCAATGCACAATGGATTGAACCTGTAAAAACATGAATTGTATTCACAGCGCTACCATTTATACGTTATTCGTTTATGCGTTATTTTAAACCATATATTCCGATTCTGACAGTATTTTTTACTAGAAGGGAGAATTGTCTTTCTTCTCAAGTATATATGTTTGTTTCGTTGCACGGAAAGATTCTAATCTGGATCATTAAGCAGCGAAACAACAAGCTGAAAGATAATTCGCTAAATAATGAGTTAGGTTTTATATTTACTAGTAACAAAAGCTGAATTGTAAAACAAATTCCGAATGCTTGCAGGCAATCAGCGACACGACATCAGCGATCAAGGAGATCGCCACCATCATCAATAACAGCATCGCTCCTGATTCGGCTACCGCTAGTACCCTAATGAAAGAATCCCTAAAGGATGCAGATTCATCGAACATGACCAACGTCAACGGAACAGAAACGACGACATCAATACCCACGACCACGCCCTTTGTCTTAACTAGACAAGCACTACAGAGTTTAATCAGGCGAAACGTCTTGGGGCTCGTTAAACTTTTTAATATCGAATGGAAAGACGCATTAAACGTAAGACGATTCTTTCAAGTCCTTCCAATTTGATTCTGATTCTAATGATCGATTTATCCAGCCATTTGACCTATTCATATTTTGTCTGTACATTTTCCAGCAATCGGAAACAAACGTGAAAGAGTTCCAGAGGGATCTAGGAAACCAAATAGGCAGTTTCTTTCGTGACAGAAGGGACACTTAAAACGACTGATTGCATTAGGACATTTCTTATTTGATAAAATTCCTTCGATAGTGTACACCCTCCAAGCATGTAGCCAAAGATCGAACATAAGTTTAACCGACTAGTAGTACGTGTAAAAGACCGTTTCTTTTTATAATTCGAATTAAAGAGTTGAAAGCGAAAGCGAAGATATTTCAAATTGCCATAAAATCAACTCCAATACTATTTCCAATAGTGCGTCTCGTAAAAGAGCCAAGGACAAACGAGGCTGTTTCAAAACGCACAAAAGATCATAGGTGTTTATGCTGGCTCAAGTTACGTCACTTTCAAAGATCATCGTCCGATATTTATGTAACGCGGTCCTACACGACCTACGCGCTCTCGTATTTGTACGCAGGTAATCAGTGAAACAGGGTTTAACAGTTCTCTTGTATAAAAATCAGACGAAAATTCGAGAAGAGGTAAGTAGAAAGCACGTTTGCCTGAATTCGATTGGTTGACACGCGGCGTGGGACCACTGGATTCGCCCTTATATGTGAATCAACCAGACGGATCAAGAACTACACGATCAGTGCTGTTCCATGGATCACGAACAGTAAATCTGTTTACACTAATTGTAAGTAATATTCTTGAAACGTTTCTTTGAACGTAGTTTCTCTGAACGTATTTTTACATATTCACGACTGATAATTTCTTTGGCATACTAAAACAACGTGTTACGAGGTTCATTAAATGTTAATTAAAACAGAAAGAATTCAAAGTCTGCTTTCATACATACATATATATATTGACTTTATATCGCTCATTATCTTTTATTGGAAATAATATACAGAGGTATATAAAAGTACCCACTCAAACAAGTTCTTTTTACTCAGCTTTAAAGATTTTAAATAATATTATGTAAATACATAACAGTATTTACTTCATGCTTCTCTTTTTTTTTACAATATTGGTTAAAATTTGTTTAAATAATATAAAGTGAATACATTACACACATTAGAAATTCATACACATTACAATAACATTTTCTTAAATTGTATAAAGTAAAATATGATGTACGTAACGAGAAATTTTTATTCACCATTATAAGATGATGATCTTTCATCAGAGTTCCATTGACTTTCTTCAGAATCATTTACAATTGCTTCGCATAATTCTATCTTTCAGCGTAAAAAGAAATAATAATTCATCAGCTATCCTTAATGCGTTTTGGTCGTAATTTTCGTTTGATCGTCGAACTTCTGTGAGTATTTAGCTGTTGCATCTGTCTGTTCGTGTTCATACATGGGTTTACTGTTACTGTTACTGTTACTTTCATGTAAATAACTAATTCCGCTTACGTTGTTGCATGCGCGTAACACGATAGCTCGGTGAAAGAAGACAAAAAGGAGGGGCTAAATCGTGTGTAAGAAGATTACGTGGAATAGAAAGGACCACTGGTCAAAAGGTATTGGATCCGTGGAATCCTACATCGTGATTGGTTGATACCTCGCGTGGGATCTTGCAATCATCCTTATAGATTGGAGGATCGTCGACCTGTTCTGCAGTTTGCAGATCACGAAGATTCTTTGACGGTCGTATCAAAGTGTTACAACAATGCTTGGGATAATCTGCGTTTTCAACGCTATCTTGTACGTGACAGCTTCGGAGACAGTAAGTTCTATGCTTATTTGCAACAATTTGTATCTTATTATTTTAACACGTTAAAACTTTCAGATCTGCTCAAATGATGGATTTTACATCGTTGTGTTTAGTATTATAAACGTACCGATTCTTTTCACACAAATCAATATTGGCTTTCCTTAGACTTATCTCTGTTATCATGACATTATAGCGTAATTGCAATGAATGTGGTGAAGCTTAATCATTATCCGAGTATATATACAAAAAATGTTGGTATCTCAAATATTTTGGATCTTCGATAATAAAATTCAGATCATTCAAGGAACATTGAATCGCAAGCAGAGTTTTACTCGATAATACTAAAAAGAAGTAACAATTCTCTTGAGACTCTTTCTCATTGGATCTTGACGCTCGATTCTTCAGTGAATTTTACAAAATTCTTCTGGTAAAGGCCTCACACACACAATACACATTTTTCACACGTACAGTCACATCTTCACGTGCATTCTCTGAATCGCTCTTAATACAAAACCAATTATTTAAAGACCAATACAAAACATTCGTCGGCTCTTAATCATTTGTCATCTACGCGAATTCTCATTCACATGGTTTTTTATATTTGAATTCACGTATTAATAGATAAAGTAATAATAAAAGAATTTAACTTTCGATACTGTATAACTACTATAATTTGAACCTAAACTCGTTGATATTTTCAAATGAGGGAAGAACATTGATCTGTGAAATTTTCAATTTTCCGGTATGCGATATTAACGCAAATAGAAATGCAACAAAAGAACAATAACGCCTGTTCAGAAGGCACGTTGGCATTTGCATTAACACTTATCGAGCAGAAAATCGTTTGACGCTCTATATGTAGAAAAGAGAAAGTTACTATGTAGGCATAATAGCTGTTTAAAAGTAATTCAATGCACATTCCCGTACGGATAATTCTACCCGCATTTGCGACGTTATAACGTGTGGGATTAACTTTATCTTCCGTTTACAGCACAGTTCAAGTGTCAAAACATACTATTATAAGAACAGCTTTAGTGAATTAAAATGCTACAAAATTTCATCGAAAGTTAATTTCCCCTATACTGAGATGATTAAAAGTTGTTTTATTGTCGCTTTATATGTTGACAAATAAAAATGTCATTCTATAGTCATTATATATTATTTTCTTAAATAAAAATGGTCTAAACATGATATGGAGACCTGATAATTGAATTTAAATCTGTTATTTCAGGCGATCCTTCAACGAATGAAGCGTCAAAATGATCCAAGTGAAAGTGATCGTGTGATAGACAGTATTTTTAACGTGAGTATTATTTAATCTCTCTTAAGTTTATCGGTGATCCAGTAAAAATTGATTTTAACGCTTCAGATTCCAATTACGGCGATCAAGGAAACAGGAGCCGCGGTGCAAACTTTTAGCCCAGAAAATTCTAAGGCCATCGATAGTATTTTAAAGGTATATTTATATTCCGGTGACTTATATAACACGTACTCTTCGTAAATACAGTTTTCGTAAAAATCCCTAAAATATAGTTCTTTTCTTTTCTTTTTTTTCTTTTTTACTTTCTTTAAACAAAACAAACTTTCGGTGTGCATACATACTTTTCGATATTCATCAAACAATAATATTCTGCTCTCGCGTAACACGCTCTCGATATGACACAGTTCGAATTTTTGTGTTTTATCATGTTATCTATATATTATATATAATATAATTTCTTTGAAATATAAATCTTTCTTTCTTTTTCATAGATCCCTGTTTCGACCTTAGAAGCTGTTGGGGCTCTAGTAAAGCAAACGTCTGGGCAGAGACTCCAGAATGCCGAAGAGTTACAACGAATACGCCAAGAAAGAAGAGAGAGAATATTAGCTCAAAGGGAACGACAGAGATTCCAAAGAGAGCAACTTCAGCAACAACGTTTCAAACAGCAACAAATGAAGAGAAACGTTAAGAACAATAACAAAAATTCCTTTGGTTTAAACACCCTCTCCTTCCTGGTTAGTAATCATGGTATCTTAGGTAGTATTCAAGGTCCGTTTGGCGGGTACAGTGGAAATGGTGGTGGACATGGTGGTCATGGTGGTCATGGTGGTCATGGTGGTCATGGAAATCAAGGTACACATTTACTGGTATCGAGTATATATCTGTACTGCTTGACTAGGCAAAAGCGAAATCCTTGAAAAAAATTAATGAAAAAGGGAAAGACAAAGGTATATGTGCGATATCTTCAATTATTAATCGAACAATTGTAATAGGAGATTTTTACAAAAGGCGCGTTTTTCTGTCGTTAACGAATTTCTTAAAATCGAGATAATAAGAAAGAATAGTGAATTGTACGTTGATATGTGGGATTTCTCGTTTTAATCGTATGCCAAAACTTTTCTAAAATATCTTAAGGTACAAATTTTACGGAATTGATAGAGAATATATTGTGGAAAATTCTGTAAAGGAATTTTATTGCAGCTTCTGACGAGAATCATTATATAGAACCAGAGAATGGTGTGCCGCTTTTTTTACCGTTTATATATTTATTTATAGGTTTTGAAAACTTCGTTTTTTTCTGAATCAAACAGTACAACTATGAAACTACAGATGGTTCATATAGAAATCTTTGTAGGTACCCATGGAGGACAGGGCAGTACAGGTAGTTACGAAGTCCACGAAAACGTAGAAGAAGACACAAATTATTCCTGGCATGGGATCACCGCTGGATTTGGTACGATTTCTGGCTCTCGACCAACTAGCGCGCATATTTCCATACAAAATAAAGTCGCCCCTAAAGATAGAAGACCAAACAAGTATTACGACGATTTTCGAATACAGAACAAAATTGCTCCGAATAAAGAAAATGGACTAGACTATGAAGATGATCCTCCACTGCAGAACAAGATTGCACCCAAAAGCAGCAGAATATCGTTTCAATCATAGAACAAATTCATCAAACAGTGAAATGAATTCAATCTTTTAGTTTTCTATCACGCGTAACATACGCTGCCAGTTATACTCGTACATAAGTATTAGGAATTAGGACATCTACTTGTAGTATTTATTGGAAAAAGCAAATTTTACTTTGTCTAATATTTTATATTACAAAGCTTCTGTAACGCAATTGAAATGACAGATTTATAATAAGATAAGTAGAATATAGAATAACAACCGATTACCAAACAACAATTACCAAATAACAATTCGATTACCAAATGTCCTAATACCTGTTCGTATGTATGTTTAGCAGTGCACGTTACTTTAAATGTAAAGAGAAGTGACATCGAAGAACAGCAGAGTATCGTTTGACTCGTAAAATAAATGCAAGGCGAAACGAATTTGATTTTCTAAATTTTCATGACGTATTGTATAACATATATATACTTTTATATATCACACGCTCGATAACAGCTGGCCGATAAGTATGTGAGTCACATTGCATCGTTTATGTAGATAACGAATGACAAAATGTCGCTGTTTAGAGAAAACCAGAGTCGTTAAAGCAAACTGCAATTTCATCGTTGGGACGATAATTGGCGAACGAACGACAATGACTCGTTAGATTTTCACGGCAGCTGCGCTGTTTTACCCACGAATTTCGAAGTCACGTATGTACCACGAAAGACTCCATGGCTACTACATGGAATGTTAAACGAGTCAATCCTGCGATACGGAAAACATTTCGAATGTAACACGTCCTATGAATAACGAAAAGATGCGAGGATAAGCAAACAAACCGTGTATCCATTGTGTATTCGAATAAAATTCAACTTCATTTTGTACATAATTGATATTCCACTGCATGGATCCTCGTTATAAGATAAATATTAAACGAAGGAAAATGAATCTCAGTATCTGATAATAGTCGGATTTAATGAATAATCGCGTGACCGGTAGTCTTGTTTTTTATTTATATGGCTCGGGCGTCATAAGCACATAAATGCATGTAAAATAATAATCAGTCCACGCGTTAACGTTAAATCGTTTCGCAGTTATCGATGTATTAGCATATGTATAAATACAGCGTTGGCAAGGTTGAATGATTCACTTGATCGGTTTCGTTTGTAATTTATCACATCTATTCGAAGGAATCAGTATCAGAAATTGAAAAAGTATTTCTAAGTAGCATAGGAAAGATTTTTAAGCCTTTTGTATTAAACTGTGAATTAAATACCAATCATTGACATTCTAGAAAGTATTACAAGTTGGCGTCGACAACGATTATGCTGGTTTCGAAAACGGAAGTTCGTCGAATTACAAGATTGAATCTTGAAGTTTGAACCGTAACTTTGGATTTTTATAAACCACCTTATTATTCAAACAAATAAGGAGAATTCTAAAATATCTTCTGACATTAGAATACTATTAGTCATGTAATTTTATGTTCTTAGATATTTATTCGAGGAATTATGTTTACGTTTGATTCAACTTTGATCTGCGATATTAATGTGTAGTTTTCCTGCATCTCGTTATATTTTTAATTAAGATCTTTTTAGCGTCATCCATCTATCTGGTCAAAAAAATAATCATTTATAAAAACCTTTGCTTCTTCTTCATTTATGTGTTGAGTCATTTTAGCGGAAATTTCTCCATCACACAAGTGCATAGTTATTTCACGATTGCAGCATTCCCTTTCATTAAATTGTGAAGAAATTACGAATTCTTTAACCATGAACACGTCAATTGGTAATTTATTTTCGATGTAAAACAATGAAAATTTCCAACGCTAAACTAAAAGTGAAAACAATAAATCGAAAAACCTTCCGAAAATATTTGACTTATTTTCTAAAAAGGTACAATACATTTTGTACCGCACCAACTAGCTATCTTTTATTATAAAAAGATATTCAATTATATTCATTAATAAATCGAGGAAGAATTTGTGCATTAAGACGTTAAAAGCCTATTGGAACTTCTCCCATTTGTAAAAATAAACAACGTACAATGTCTTCTCTGTCTTTTCGGGGATGTATTTGTTAATTAAGGCAGCACACCGAAACTTATACAAATGCCAGCAAGACTGAAGAAGGAAATGAATGCGTGGTGATTGTATTCATATTGTCCTTGACCCCGGCGTAATCATAGTTCATTCGGTAGACAATCGTCGTATAAATCAGCTATAAAACCACATTCGCAAAACGAGTTGCTCGGCTACTTCTTAAGTCTACGTCAGACTTTATCCCTTCCCGACGAGAAGGTGAGCCAGAGATGTCTTCGAGGTCTTTTTAGAAGCCCGTAGTAAGTGCGTCAGGTAGCCAGTTGTGCGACTCAGTTGAAAGAAAGATGCTGTGCGGCAAGGTTGTTTTAGTGTTCGTAGTTAGTCTAATTGCATTGATCACCGGGATGCCTCAAGATAGCGAAAATAGCGCCCAGAGTCCATTCTCGGTGAGTTTTCAACTTTATTGGATTAATAATACAAAGTTTCATTGTATTTGCCTGAGAACAATTCACGCTTACGTTTGCGACGCGGCCGATTGTGAGACAGCGATTTATCGAATTTTGCATTGTAACTTTGCTTGGAATTTTGAACGAACAAGTGGAATTCTAATTGGCGATCGCGTAATTGGTAATTCGCGTTTGGAAATTTGTAAGAAAACGAAGCTTCGAAAAAAAAAAAAAAAAAAAAGGAATAGAAATTCAAAAAAATTGTGACATTTTGATTGAAAAGTTTCCGCTCATATTCGACATCGATATTTACAAAACAGTTAAAAATGAAGAATTTTCCCTCATACGAAAACAAAATTATTCAGTTGTTCAACAAGCGAGTATAATTAGAGATGATAATCAAAACTGTACGATATTTACAGTCTTCGCAAATGCTTATTTGTATACCTAATGAATTGTTTTACAAACTGAGTATGAGCAAATAGCTCTAAGCGTGCAGCTTTCTAATATTTCCAAGTATAACGTAACAACAATTAGACAACGTGCCACGACGTCTATTGAATCTTTTTATTCGGACGGTCATAAATGATGGCGAATGAATGACAGTGAATAGAATGTATAAAAAAATTTAGTGAAAAGGGGAGAGTACGGGTCACTGATGGCGGAACAATATTAGGTAATCAGCAAACGCAACCACGATCAGGGAAAAGATTGCGGAAATATAAAACCGAGTTAAAAGTTTGCGATGGTTATATGATTGTTGGAAAATATTGCTTAAATTTGCAAATAATTGTAGTGAACCAAGGACCGAGTTAAAGCACGTTATCAGGCCGACAATTTAGTAAATTTACATAAATATCAAATAATCCTGAAAAACTTAGAAAATATACAGATGATATAGAAGCAAATTGTACTGAGTTTGTAATTGTTTAAGAAAATTGTTTCATATTAACCACCATCTATTTGTTAAATACATACATAATGTACCTGAAAGCCTTCATTAAGGTTTATCGGTCTAATTGTAGCGTAAAAACGTTTATAAACTTTACAACGAGACATTATAGATATAGTAGTAATAGTAGTAGATAGTTAAGTAGCAATTATTAAAATGTTAATATCTGGAGAAACTTATCGCTGTAATTATACAAAAATGTTAGGTAAATTGCGAATTTTGATGCACCCTAGTAACTAAGCGAGTTAGTAAAAATGCATACAATGCACTGTACATAATATGCAAAACTATGTATACAATTTCCAAAGTACAGTATTCGCCATAATATTTAATAAAGAAATCAAATCTCTGCATAGGACCCTCTAGTTGAGTTGATAAAAATATGAATTTACATATTGCACGCTTTAGTTAAATTATGCTATTTAGTACTTTGCCATACTTCGAGATACGTTTAGACGTACAAATTTCATCTATTAAGTAAAGTTATGTTGAAGTATATTATACAGGTTGTTCATTCAAACAACAACTAAATGCCTTAAATAGTATGAAGAGAAATAAAAAACACTTTAGTTTTCATTACTTTCGAAGTGATCGATATAGGATAATTTAACTATAGACAGTAACATAAATATTCGCGACCTAATAACAAAACAATAAAAAAACGTGCCATTGTTTCTTCGCAGCTTCCATTCGTTCAACTTACAAATGGTGGAATCCGATTCAATTTGGGCGGCTACCATGCCCAAGCTGGACTGGGTGGTTTACTAGGCGGAAGCAATGGACTTCACGCTAGCGTCGGAACACCCTGGGGTGGCCATGCGTCCGCTGGTTTGGGTGGCGCAATCGATGGCAACAATGCAAATCTTGGCTAGTACAATTCCATCGACACGTCTTTCTTCTTTTCCAGTAGAACTTGTAAATCTGTCGCCATAGACGTTTATACGAATTTTATATACTTGAACGAAACTTTAGTTGGCGCTCGATTAATCCGTCAAGTGGCAAACGAGTCAAATTGTCATTCGGATTGTCAATCTCTCGAATATAATAATTCCTTTATTTACAGATTCCCTATTTTCTTACGTTCTACTACCCGTTACTTTCTACTAAAAGTACTTTGTATTACGATTTATAATTTTTCCAGTTTCATAATTAACATCTTTATGCCCGATGTTGCTTACACGTAACATCTTATTTTAATATGTTACCAAATGATAAACGTTAAATTAACTAAACGATAAATCCATTTGTTTTCTATAAAACAGATCCATTATTCTGGCGTGTCTCGTCTTCTTTTCGACCATCTAAAAAGACAATTCTCCTCAGACGATGGAAAAAGGATATTTACATTGCGAATTCAATTCTTCCTTATGTAAACGTCAACTATAATATCAACAAAAAAATCATAGATCCTAAGAAGTCAGCTCCTATTATATCATCTCCAATTATATACTGATATGATTTTTTTATGTCTTGATAGATTCTCAGAAATAGATATTTATCGTATCATAAATATACTGGAAGTTGACTTCTGGACTTCCAGTTTTTTTTCTTTTTTTTTCCCCCTATGAGAAGGCGAAATGAAAAGTTCATGCGGTGAATCGATCAACAGGAGGAGGTCTGTTCGCGAGAGCAGGCCTTGGAAACGGAAGACACGAAGCTGCAGCAGGATTAGGCGGAGTGATAGACGGAAGTGGAAGGACGGGTCCTGGACTCAGAGGAGGAATCTTTGCGAACACGGGAGCTCACGCGGTTGGAACATCAACTGGGATTTCTAACAGAGGACCAAGCGACAGACGAGATGATGGAAATAATAAACCAGGTGAAGATGAAGGCGATAGGGGCCAATCAACCAGGGGACGTTCGAATATTCAAGTAATCGCTCGTTCTGGAAATAAGAAAGAAAAAGTATTGGAGGTGCGTTA